CCTGCGCGCCTCGCACCGGGCCGGCGGGGTGGGAGGTGCGGGGCCGTTAAACAAAGAGGGGTCCCTCTTCTTCAAAACAAATGCCAACAAGGGGCTGCTGGATTTAAGTGTGTGCTTATATCTAAGTGCGGGTGTGTGTGTGTGTGTGTGCATGCATGCAACTTACACGCGTAATGCGGGGGTGGGGGTGAGGTTCATCGTTGGGTTTGGTTACCCGAGGTTTCGAGTCCGTGTGTTGCTCTCAGACCGAAATGTTCCGCGGGTGCTTGTTGAAGTTACGCAGGGGAAGGTGGATGCAAGTACACACCGGTTCCCATCCCTTTAATATTCAAAATCACTCACATCTTCCTTGCGATGGGGGAGCCAGAGTTGGAGTTCTGTTTGGATAGTGACAGATACTTTTGTGGCAGAAAACCAGCGGTTTCCAGTTTTATTTGTCTGTGACTTTCGACAAGCTAATTTCTTTTAAAGGCTAAATAAGGTTGCATGGAAACGCAAAGTAATTTTTGTCTTTAATGCTTATTCATCTCTTAGTGCAGGTGATGACCGCGTTTCCAACTCTGGGTATGTCAGTATTACCATTGTAGGAAATGTTTTGCCAAACTGCTTTCATATTTTCTCCAGTCTCTACCGTCTGCAGGAAGGACAGCTTTCAGCATGGACTGAGGTGCTTGTTATCATACACTGCTCGCCAGACTGGTCATGGCAAAGCACTTTGTTGTGTTCACTTTAATTGGGGTCTCATTAGGGTTAAGGTAAAAGAAATGCCTTACAAAGGCCGTTGACACATTGGAGTCACTAATTTCTTACCTAAGGATTGGCTCAGTGCCCAGCCATGAAATTCAGCTTTTCACCCTTGTGTTGCTCTTATGTGAACATAGACAAAACTGAAAAAAAATCAAAAAAGAACAAGGAGAAGAAATTCACTAGCAGCTTCTACAATGGCATTAATACTTTCCTGTATCTCCTGCATTTACCTTTATGTTATTGTGTCTGCCTTTCACATTGGTGGCTCATGCTCATTTTGTAATCCGTTAGTGATCTCACGGATTTTTCATCCCCCTGCTTCTGAGAGATCACACCTTAATAGTCATCTCTGAGCATGTAACCTTGCATTTTGTGTAGCTAAATGTCATCCCATATTTATTCTTGCCCTCTTCAAAATCAGTTATTTTTGTATGATGTTGTGTCTTTGATTTATACAACTCCGTGTCATCTGCAGTTTTCATTAATGCATTGCTGTTTTCTCTGCCAAGGTCATTAGTGCAGATGTGAAATAAAAGGCTGATTCTTTTAGTACTTCATTTCTTGCCTTATCTTTAAGGACTTCCGCTCTGAGGAAATAAGCGCACCCAAATCTTCGTGCTGTTGAAGCTGGACTGCTTTTAGTACCCAAATTTACTTGGTTAAATCTGGATTGAGCATATGTGTGCTGTGATGCTGCTGAGAACAGTCTAAATCCAGGCAAGGGTAGTCCTCTGTTCTGGCCATGTGGTCTTGTCCTCTGCCAGGCAGAGGATCCAACGCTGATGACGAGGTAGAGAGTCAGTTCGGGGAACTGATTTGGCAAATAACCTAAATTTTTCTTTTAGCTGGTTTTCATCTGGTTAGCTTCCTGAACCAGCACAAACAAGGACATGAGGAAGCATGTCTGGTTGGCAGTGATACCGCACTGCAACTTAGGTCAGCTTAAGATGCTGTGGAGGTGTATCTTGCGCAGGCATCAAGAGTGTGATGGTATCCTTATTTGCTGGTAACTTCAGGGTCAAGATCTTTGAAAGTAGATTTGGGAATCCAAGTGATTACATAAAAATAAGACCTCTCCAGTGCTGGAAATTTATAATTTTACTATGCTGTCTAAACCTTTTTCGAAAGCTAGCCGGGTTATTTATTTTTTCTGAGAATTTACAATGAATAAAGGAAGGAGAATATGCATGATTTTTCTCTTTCAGCTGGGAGAGTTAATGGGACTTGGTGTCCCATCTGCAAACAAGCCAGGGATGGATTAGAGGTGACTGTATCTCACTAATGGGTTTATACACAACAACATTCTCCTCAGCTCCAGAAAAACTGGTCTATTCCCAGCGAAGTCTGCCCTGCTGTCCCCGTGAGTGAAACTGGAGAAGAAACTGGAGTTCTTTATTCAGTTTGTTTTCCC